TTTTTGGATAATTATATCTTGTTATGTATCTTGTAAAATAGTATGTCACTCTTTTCAGTGATTGATAATCAACATAAAGACAAAGATCATTTGGCAAAGATATTTTTGTATCAAATAAAAACAGTTCGAGATAATCATCGTGAGTTTGAATAAGATCAAGTCGAATAAGATTGGAATATTGAATAATAGATGATATATGATGATCATTGTTTGATATTACCTCTTGTTTCTCATTTCGTGGTTTACGATTGTGAATTTTTAATTTTTTCATAAATGGAAATGATTTCTGAATTCAAGGAAAAAATTCATATTCAAATGGACGTTCATCAAATAATGATACTTTCGTAACACAAAGAAATAATCCATCTTGAAAATCATTTGTTATATTACTGTAAAAATATGATTTATATGGATATGTGTAAATATGACATTGAATAAATCCTTCTTCTTGAAAATGATCAATACAACTAATTATTTGATTATTGAAAAACAAATCTTTAAATGTTTCCCGAATATATTTTTTCGTTAATGGAAGATTAATTTGATCATTATGATTAATAATTGAATAAATACTAAATGTGAATTTATGTAACCGTGGCATATAAATAAGAATATTTTTCTTTAATATATCACCATCAAAATATTTATCATTACATTTAACTATAATATTTAAATGAAGTTCTTCTAAATTTATCATTCGATGCAAAAGTGGCATAATTGATTTATCGAACTCTAATATCTTTTCGTCACAGGATAAAGAAAAGATCCGTAAGTTTGGTAATAACTTTTGCTAAAAATGAAAACAAATATGTTGATTTAGACAAACAAAACATTCAAAATACTTTACTGTATGTTCAATGTTGGAAGATCTAAACTTAATACTTTTAAAAATAATATAAAGCACACAAAGTTGATCAATACGTCCGTCAAGCATATAAAGACATTCGTCCATATTTGACACACAAACATGTAATTCTAATAAATTCGAACAGATAGGAATTTCACCGCTGGTTACGTGTAAATAATCGCTAGAAGGTGCATATAAATTGAATTTTAAGCATCGTAAATTAGTAAATGTAAAAAGAATCATTGAAAATATAAATGAAGAATGAGCTCCCATTCTAATTGATTTGTCTTCATTTTTACAACTGATAAAAAGCGATGAAATTTGCTTTGTAAATATATGAGTTAAATCATTTTCATCTACATAGATGATGTTTATTTCTTTTTGTTATATTTTATCATAGAACCTATTGTATATCGTTCTATCTCATTTTGGACTTGTTTATATTAATTTAGTAATTAATCGATTCTAGAAGAAAAAAAACAATCAAAATCTCGCTTACCGTCAAACAGAGACAAAGCTAATTTGTAGTTTATATTACATAATCCAAGATAGTTTAAATAAGGATAATTTGTAGCACGAAGAACACGTTCTATCGATGTTCGTTCAAGAAAAAGACTTTCAATTTGATGACCAATTTCAGGTAAAAATTTTGAACAAAATCGGTCAAGTATTGAATCTGATAATGGAAAGGCAAAATCGTCGACTATACAATATTCGAATAAACATAAACGACGAGTAGAGGTTGTATCTTTTGCAATCCTATTGAGTCGTTGATTAATACCCATTAAAGAATAAATGACTTCATCATTGTACAACTTTTTAAATATATACAGAAGAATTTCATCAGGTAAATCATCCAATTGAACTAATATATCATTCATGTTCGTTTATCTACATATCTCTACTTGCCTAAGGTTATATATATATCATCTGTTTTAATTGACCGATATCGTCAATGAAAAGAATGATATTCATTTCCATTATCCTATTAGACGATAAACGAAAATGTCTTTCTCTCATTATTGAATAGTCTTTTAAACGATATATCATAGAAAATCTTATTTCTTTGTAAAGGAAAACAAAATTCTATATTTATGAAATTTCTTTCTTATCTTTTGGTTAAGTGATCATAATGAATATTGTTTCGATTGTTGTTTAAGAATTTTATGAACGATCGTTTGAATAAAAATATATTTGCTCGACTATTGAAAAATCTAATTGAATTGATCAAATATTTTATTTAAATATACGGCATTATTTCAAATTATTTTTCACAAACAAATTTTAATGCAAGCGAGTTTTTTTGTTTTCATCATGTAGTCATTTTTTATATTTAATCAATTTTATAGAAAAGCTGAATTTTATACGAAAGAATTTGTTAATAAATTGACGTTATAGTTACAGATAAGTATAGAGTTTTTATGATGAACTTATTCGACGAATAAGTCAAATAACATTGTCAATTAAGTCTTCTATAGCTCATTTTATTTAGTATTAAATCATTTTTTAGCTTTTTTCTAAATAGACAAAACATCGAGAAAAAGATTTTCGAATAAATACGATTATTGATACGAGTTTTCTAAATATTCTATGAATTACTAAGAAATAATTTATTCGTTTTATTCGAAATTTCATTTTGAATATCCTCATAGGAGATATCCTTCGTTGATCTCTTTTATTTGTATATCTGATCGAATACATTATTTAGCATGTATTAATAATAGACTTTCTATCATTAAATAATATTTAAAGAAATCTTTTTTCTAGACTGAAAATATTTTATCTGAAATGAGAAAATAAAGTATTGAGAATTTCAAACGCCATCTTTTGATAAAAAAATATTTTAACCGCAGGGATAATAGGGGAGAAAATAAAAAAAATACTGAGAGAGCAGTTCTTTATGGCCCACCCGTTTTTTTGTTAGAAATAGTTCGATTTTGGTTTTGATCCAATTCGTGTCTATTCTCTGAATGAATCGGATCATGTCTTGATGGAATAACCATAATACGATGACTTGTTTTGCAACGTCTAAAGATAGATGGTAGTTTGTCAGGTATTTCTTTTGGAAATGTTATCATGGCAAAAATTGGCGAAAAACACTTGGAATATAAAATGTACAAATCAATGCTTGTGTATAAATATGAAGAGCAAATGCTGGTGGATCATAGATTTTACCTAATGTCACAATACTATATGGTACTTCACCAATCAGTTGGAACAACAGATTCCAGTCAATTGAAGAACAATTCGACGATTCTTTTGCCATTTATTTTCTATTCTTGCTGCGCAAAATTTCACAAACACATCTTTGATAATTCTGATAATATTACAAATATTTATAATAGCAATTGGGGTAAATGTATCAAATACACTATCCCATGTAATATAGAATGTAACATATAAAAACTGTGGTCCACCTCACCATTCTTTAGAGAAATCGAATATAGTATTACCATAAGGAAAAAAGGCAATAAAATAAAGATGGGTGTGGGTGTGGGTGCGGGTCTGGGTGTCAGATGAATGAAGTACCGAGACACAATCACACCCACACCCTCATCCAACTCACACCTCCACGATTACCCTCATCCAAACAAATCCTTATGTGCATCGGCGTAGATAAAACATTAATATTTTCAATGCATTCACGTTCTCAGCAATTCGACTTTATAATAAAAGAGCAAACTAATAAAAAAAATGTTAGATATTCACTATTTTTCAAAAATCCAGACCATAAACTGATCGTATCATTGAATAGCGAGCAGTGGCTTCTATATCAAACATATTGGCTGCTTCAACCGCTAGGCGACATACCGGACAGGTGTAAGAGGTTCGTAGTAGATGTAGCATACAAACATAATGAAAAGTGTGTCGACCATCGCAAGGCCATTGAGCGTAATCTTGCCCACTTTCAAAACTGAATTGACACACAGTGCAGTTGCTCTCCAATAGATCATTATCATAATCTTCTACGGTTCCTGGAGATGTCGAACGAAATGTACCAATAAACTCAGGTGATGCCGGCACTGAATAGGTCGACATTTCCCTAAGACATTTTAAATAGTCCGCAACTTGTTGCTGTCGTTCCTCCTCAATTAACTCGGCTAAACGATGTCGTTCCGCTGCTGCTCGGGCTTGGCTAGCTGCGTGCTCTTTCGGAAGTTCCTCTTTATGATAACTAGAACGAAAAAGTAGTAATGCATCTTATAGTACGACAAATAAAAAGAATACATACCACCGTTGGTATCTCTCACTAATATCCATTAGTATTCTATGAAGCCAACTTCTAAAGGTATCATTATTGAAGCGATATAAAAACCAGAAAGCAACAGAAATTTGGGACGATCCGTCTAAAATCGTTACACCACAACGATTGACCATAACAATGTCTTCGACAGAAATCACGGAGAATGGTGACTTGTCATTGAACTGACGTAAAACGATCGGATCGCGTTCATTCAGATCGATATCGAAAACAATTAGATATTGTTCTCGCACTAGAAATATATGATCCATATAATTGCGTTCAGTTGGTGTATTCAAAATCATCTCTTCTAATGTTTGCAAGGTACCAAGATGGAATCGACGAAGTTCATCTTGCAGAGCTAGGACAAGTACAAGTACCGCAAGTATAAGTATTATACTTGTACTTGTACTTTAGGAAGAGTACTTGGTACTTGTACATGAGAGATAAATGCAATATATATTTTCGAAATAAGATTAGTATAGCTGCTTATTATAATGCACTAATAGTTTACAACGTAATTTATTTACTATTCTCTCATGATATGTATTTGTAATTATAACAGTGGGAATAAATATAGTGAACGCAAAAGACATTATATAATGAGATGAGTAAGTGCTACTAAACAATAATGTTTACATACCAATTCCATATCTTTATCTAAGAGATGGTTTTAAAACTAAGTCTTAGTTTTGATGTACTTATATATTTCTTCTTCACTATTTTATCAATAATTGTTTTATTAATGTTACATTTTTATAATTTTCATTTTTAAAATATATGCTTCCAAAAGGCTACACAATCTTACGGGTCTTAATTTTTATGTACAATTCTAGACAGAACCATACCGCATAATTTTATGAGAAACATAAATGGAATAAAAAATGCAACACTTAACTCAATTTTATCTCTGGAATAAGAAATATGCATAAATTTATAATTAGAGTATTGAAACGCCGTAAATATTAAGTTAATCATTGTAGGAGAATACAAAACGATCTAAACTTAACGAAATCGACGTATTTTTATTACGAAATAAGATATTATGGCATATATATAAGGAATAAGGTCCATCAAATGTAAATATTTTAATTAATTATTAAATATTGAAAAAAATTTCCTTTGTATTTTTTCTTTTATTTACATATAGTTACCTAAAGATAATGAAGAACGTTATGGTCAATGTTTATTTTATAAGACACTTGCCGATGAAACAAAATCCTGTTTTAATCGTATAATAAATATTTTTAATGACATATCAGTTTTACTTCAACCAATACGTAAGTAGAGAAAACAAAAGAATCATGTAATTTTTTGTCTATTTTTTAGTTGATGATACAGAACGTCAACCAATATTCAATCGTTCCATGATAAGGAAAATTTTTGGTGTATTAAATAATCAGTATCTTGATGATGAAGGTCATTTAAAAGTTTTTAAAGCAGCATGTCGCCTTGGTGAACATATCTGTACTGATATTATTGTTCATCATCAAAATCGTCAAGAATTATTATTAAAATTTTGGTCAACGATCGGTATAGCAAATCTTGAATTAATTAAACCTGGTTTAATTTCTTTTAAATTTGCTTTTATCTCAATTATTGATTGTTTATTAAGAAATACAAACAAATTTATTGAAGATGATCATCTCAATTTTTCAAGAAAAGATATTCTTCTTATCAGAAAAATATCTCGTTCATGCGATTTTATTAAGAACAGCACTTGATGCACAAATGTATAAAACAACAATTAAAAATTTCGTTCATCTCCTTCTCGATGGTTTTTCTTATGAAGTAAATATTGAAAACAAATTTCATATTGAACATTTTCTTTCTTATTATAGAAACAACAAGATGATTCAGTTATAATAAAATTAAAACATGACTTAAAAACGTATGAGAATCTTTGTCGTATCTACGATTCACAAATTATTCATCGATTAATAAACGCAGGTAAAATTTGAACGCCCAGAGATGAAAATCTACATGGAGGGACAGCAACTTAAAATCGTAGATAGTTTCAAGTACTTGGGGTTTACTTGGACTAGCAAAAAGTCGCTGAAACCGACAGTCGACCAAGCCCTTTTAAAAATTGGCAAAGCACTCGGGAAGTTAAAATGGTTGAGAACAGGCAGACATATCTCAACTCAAGTACTAAGACAGTGCTTTTTTGCTTATGTGTTCCCTCACTTGGCATGGATCTTCCCTTTCTATCCCTTTTTACCAAAAACGCAACGAGAGGCTCTGGACAGGAAATTCCGAGTAGCAATTCGACTTGTCCATAGATGCCCATATGTATCAGCAACCGATCTTTTCACCCTAACTAGAGAAAAGCCCCTAGAATTTTATGTACAACGATACATAAAGAAAAAAATAGAAAAAATATATAAGACGGACCTGGG